TTGCCACAAGGGAGGGCTGAGAATCACAAGTTCCCCGGGGTCGCTGGCTCCTGCTGGGTCTGTGTCCCCCGTGGCTGCCGCGGTTGTGTTCCTCGTGCCACCCATGTGATGTGCTGTGCCTGTCGTCTCTGTTTTGCAGACCCTGGTGATCAAAGTCTGCGGGGTCATCCTCTCGGTGGTCGGCGGCCTGGCCGTTGGGAAGGTGATGTGCACAAAGTGCTCTCTGGCACGCTGCTGGCATGTTGTTACCCGCTGCTGGCACGCGTGCCACAGCCCATTACCGGCCCCGTGCTGGGGATGGGGTGCTGGTGGCCCTGCAGTGACTTCCCAGTTTTATTCCCTGGTCTGCTGGCCAAGGTGACTGCGGCGTGGCCAGGCTTGGGGAGCCCCCGGGGCATGCGGTGCCAGCCCCCCGGGCGCGCCACCGAGCCAGCCTGTGTGTGGCTCAGCTGAGGGCAGGAGAGCAGCAGCCTACGTCCGTCGGTGGTTGTCCCTGCAAGTGTTAGATGGGGGAGGCCTGGGTGCCCTCTTGGGACCTTTCTAGCTTGCTGGGATCGAAGGCAGGCAAGGGAAGCCCCTGTCCCCTCAGCTGGAGGGAGTGCCGGTGGGAACAGGAGGTGGCCTTGGGAACCACTTGCTAGAATGAGGATTTAAGGGGGGAAAATGGCAAGGTCTGTATTTCCCGGAGGGAAATCCTCCCGGCCAGCTTCTTCAGGGCTGCAGCCTGGTGAGCAGCGTTCAGCCATCCCTGACTGTCCCTGGGGTTCTTCCTTTTCCGATCTGACTCTGCTCTCCCGCCCAAAGGAAGGACCCATGATTCACTCTGGAGCGGTGATTGCTGCCGGGATCTCCCAGGGAAGATCCACGTCTTTAAAGCGAGACTTCAAGGTCAGTGTTGAGGGCCGAGGGGCTGCGCTGCAGGTGTCCCTCCTGTGCCCAAACCAGGCTCTTCCTCGGGGTCATGCTGGTGGCTTGGGGCCATATATGGCATACCCTGTGTCTCCCCTAAACTCATGCCTGTGGCCAGCCCTAAACCTGCCTTCGCTTCGATGTTTCAGATCTTTGAGTACTTCCGCAGAGACACAGAAAAGAGGGACTTTGTCTCGGCTGGAGCTGCTGCTGGCGTCTCGGCTGCCTTTGGTGCCCCCGTGGGTACGTGTCACGGCTCTCTGACACTGAGCGGTGCCTGCATGTGGATCTCGTCAGGAGGTTGCTCCCACTTGCATGGAGGCAGCTGCCGGGATCTGCCTAGGGCACTGCAGGAGCCCTCCTGCAAAGCGCCTGGCCCGGCTCCAAGCTGTACTGCCATGCCACGCAGGTCTTGGGAAGAGAGGAGGGGGTCATCTGTCTCGGATCCCAAATGTTGCCTCCCTCAGATGGAGGAGGGCAGGGGAGGGGCTTCACTATGATCACTACATCACTGATGGCTTGGTGGGCTTGCTGGTCCCTTCTCTGGGGCCTGTGAGGTCTGGGGCAGTGTGGGGCACAAGGTCTAGGATGAATTTGGGTGCCTTAGCTGGTGCTGTGAGCCAAGGGTCTGTGGCACGTGCCCCTTGTGAAGGTGTTTGTGTCTTGTATTTGCAGGGGGTGTCCTCTTCAGCTTGGAGGAAGGGGCTTCCTTCTGGAACCAGTTCCTGACGTGGAGAATCGTAAGTGCTGGAAAGCAGGAGCAGTAAATCGAGGGCTGCCAGCTGTGATGTGAGGCATTGCCTTTTCCTGATGCCCTGCAGCCCCAGGCCTCCTGCCATCCCTGCCCCAGCCGGGCATCCCAGGGAACAGCATCCCAGCTCCCCTTCTGTGCCCTGGCCCTCAGGGGCTGAATTTGGACCTGGCTGAGCTCCATCTTGCTGCCAACTCCTTTCCAAGGGAGCTGCCTTGGGCTGTGCCCCAAGGCAACAGAGAGGCAAAAGGAAGAGCGAGCCCCTGGTTGGTGTAAGCTGCCCCGAGTGCTGCCACAGGGAACGTGGCCTCTTGTCCCCACCACACCTGGGTACCAAGCCCTACCCAAGCGCCTTGGGGGGGTGGTTTGGGGCAGTGTGGGGGGCACGTGGTGAGGGCGCGGGGCTGGAGGCATCTGGCAGTAACTCCGGGCTGCATCTCCTTCCAGTTCTTCGCCTCCATGATCTCTACGTTCACTCTGAACTCTGTCCTGAGTGTTTACCACGGCAATGCTTGGGATCTCTCCAGCCCTGGGCTCATCAACTTCGGCAGGTTTGATAATGAGGTATGGCACAGATATTGCCCATGTAGGGCTCTGTTTGGGGGGTTAGAAGCAGCCCATGGAAGCTTGGGGCCACCAGTCTGCCTTAGAACATCGCCCAGGGGCTGAGGCAGGCTCTGCCCTAGCAGGCTGTGGGGTCTGGCCAGATCCCAGCTCCACCAACCCCAGCAGAAGGCTTTTCTGCAGCCACTGCTAGGTCTGGGGGCTGCGGGGTGACCAGGGGAGACTTTGGGGCAGCTCTGGGAGCTGCTCACCAGCACAGGCTTGTGCTGTCCCAGCAGACAGTAACCGGCTGCAGATGGACCAGGAGTTCTGAAACCCATTTCTTTCTTGCTTGCAGAAAATGGGATACACAATCCAGGAAATTCCTATCTTCATCTTTATGGGAGTGGTTGGTAAGAGAGTGCTGCTCTTTCAATTTGATTAGTCTGAATAATTTCCTCTATTCACTGTCTGGGTCTAAAAAGCTTTGGAATCCAGTTTTCTGGGGAGAATGGAAAAGCCATTAAACTCTGGAGCAGAGGCTGCTTGTGGGGCTTACACGGGGGTGAGAGCTGGATCCTGGCCCAACCCTTACCCTTGTAGCAAAGGCGAGCCCCTTTAATCCACGTACTGCAAAGTTGTCGAGTGGGGTCAGCGCATCGCAGTCATGGGCAGCCCCTTGCTTTCGAATGAGCTGCCCTTATCCCCGCGGAGCTGTCCTACCCCTCACCTGCCTAGTGCCAGCACTGTGACACTGGCCCCCTGGCCACCCCGCTGCCAGTGCCGGGCTCCTTTTGGTGTCGGGTCCTGGCTGTCTGCAGGGACAGCGTCCACATGGCCTGGGGCTGTTGGTCATGCTGGATGGGTTGTTGATGCCTCCCTGAGCTTGATGGGTTTCATGTGTTCTGGGCAGCCGTAGGAGAGCCTGGGACCTGCATGCTGAGCTTTTCCGCTTTTGCATTTGCAGGCGGGATCCTCGGGGCCCTGTTCAATGCCCTCAATTACTGGTTAACGATGTTCCGGATCAGGTAAGAGCTCATGGGTAACTAAGGTGATTGACATGGGTTGGCTGGTGCCTTCTGTGCTCCCTCGAAGCGGCGTTCCCAGCCAGAGCAAGGCTGTAATCTCGCACTTAACGTGAGCAACAGCAGCCCCTGGAAGCTGGGAGGCAAAGATGCCACGTGCCTCTCGCTGCCTGCTGTCGAGGCTGTGACCCGCAGCATCCCACTGTTGCTCTGACCCTGCTAAGTATTTCCCTCCAGTGACTTGAGGGCCCAAAGAAGTGCAAACACTGTGCAGATCTGACTGTTACGTGCTTCTGAGAGTAACGAGAGAATGGAGAGACCTACGAAAGCCATCTGAGCCCAGTCTGGCACAGGCAATACTTGTCACCAGCTTTTCAAACACCAGGACCGGCCTTGTGGCCTCAGGGAGGGATGACCCATGGCAGTAGAGCGGTGAGGGGCCTGCAGCAGCTTCCAGGGCATCGCTCCTCTTGGGCCTTCACAAGCCGCAGCTTTCTGGGCTTGGCTCTGCACTGTCCCCCCAGCCAGATCACGCCAACCTTTCCATGGGAGCTGTTGTGCCCAGCTCCGTGCAGGGGAGGCAGGCAGGTCGGCTGGAGCTGGCTGGGCAAAGCTGCTCTTGCCGCTGGCCTCCCACCCCAGGTCTCTACGATAGCTTTGCCAGAGGACAAGAGCGCAGGACAGCCTGGCAGGGTCTGGGAAGGGAGCAGAAGCAGCCAGCCTGTATCTGTATGCCCGACGTGACGTGCCAAGCCAGGCTGTGGGTGATTCTACCCGCACCCCTGGGTGCCACCCTCACTCCTCCGCTCCCTTCGCAGGTACATCCACCGGCCCTGCCTCCAGGTGGTCGAGGCCATGCTGGTGGCAGCAGTGACGGCCACCGGGGCGAGAGACTGCCAGCCCATCCAGGGGAGCACGGTGGCATATCCCCTGCAGGTAGAAGATGCTGGAGAACGGTCCCCCCAGGGTGGGGGGCACTCTGAGCCTGGTTAGGGGCTGAGGGCTGAGCGGGGACACGAGTCCCTGCTGGGTTTTGTGGCACTGGACCTCACAGTCAATGCCCTCCGCCGCAGGCAGAGCTGGAGGCCCAAGCGTGGTGTTGGAGTGCTTGCTGTCCAGAGCCGCCTACTCCCTGGCACGTGTCTCCCTGAGCCTGGCAGCCTTCCCTGCCGCAGGGCGGCCTGGATCTGCTGCTTCTAACTCTCTCTTTTCTTCCCCCTCAGCTTTTCTGTGCTGATGGAGAGTACAACTCCATGGCCACTGCCTTCTTCAACACACCTGAGAAGAGTGTCGTCAACCTCTTCCATGACCCTCCAGGTCCGTGCATCTGGCGAGTGGGTCCTTGAACATGAGCAGAGCGGGGCTGGGCTCGCACAAGGTGGCCGACCTGTTCCCTGGCCGCTCGTGGGACGAGGCAGGGGATGATCACCACGGCCCCATGAGGGCACGATGGGATGCAGCAAAGCACTGTGCCTGCTCCTTTCCTGTGGTGGTGGAAGGAGGGAGGGATGGATGCTCCACCTGGTGGCACCTACGAGCTCAGCCGAAGGGCTGTGGTCTCGGGAGCCTGTGGACGAGGACCTGGTTTTGTTCGTGCATGTTTGCAAGCTGTTGCTTCTGAGTTGCGTGGGAGCACGTCTGACACTCGCTGGCTGTCTGAAGTCGGTCCTGGGAATGTCACTGGCTGTTTTCTTAATTAGCAGGGCCTCTTGCCCCAGAATGACTTTACCTTCTGGGCAGGTTGTGGAGGTGGATCTCGGGGTTTAGATTTGCTTGAGAAATGCAATTTGGCTCCCAGGTTCCATCTCCCATTCCCCTTGGACCTAGTGTAACGACAGCACGCCCTCTGCCTGCTGGTCTGAGTTTTGTGCCCAGCTGCACGTGGGCAGGGAGCAGACAGCGCTGAATTTCTGGACCCTCAGCCCAGAGAGTGCTGCTTGGCCACCCGAAGCCAAGTGATGTCCTGTGTCTCTGGGCCCCTCCCTGCAGTGCTGGGTCCTCCCTGGCTCAGGGCTTTGGTCTATCGACCTCTCTGTGAAGGAGAGGTTGCAAAGTACTTGTTTAAACTAGACTGAGCTGCTCAGCAATCCTAAAAAAGCAGTAGGCTGAGTCCTGGGGACAGCAGGGTCTTGCTGTGATGGCACAGCCTGTGCCATGGCGCAGCTCGGGACTGGCCGGAGCAGCCATGGGAGCTGTGGGACGGGGAGGGGGTTTGCAGGACCTACTCTGCTGAGTTGATCCCGAAGCTGGCGGTAGGACCCCTGCCAGCTCACCAGCACCTCTGTCCTCCTGACCTTGTCCTCCAGCACTGGCAGTCCCTCGGGGCTTTGAAATTCGTCACGCTGCCTTGTGGGAGGCTGGGAACCGTGGAGCTGGGAAGGGACAGGTCATCGCAGGTCACGAGATGGAGGAAAGGCGCCTGCTGGACTCAGTGGGATGGGAGGGCTTGGGATGCCGCCGGCCGGTGGGGCCCTTGAGGGGGCAGAAGCAACCTAAAGAGCCGGTTTGAAAGGCTAGTGCTGCCAGGGAGGAAGGTGCACCCGATGAGAGGGGCTTTCACTGCTGGGAGTGTGTCGTGGGGTGCTGCTGTCTGTTCTCCCATGGCCGCAGCCCATCACGGTGTCCTCTGGGCTGCGGGACCAGCACTGACTCTCCATTCTCTCTCCACCTCAGGTTCCTACAACCCCATGACGCTGGGCATGTTCACACTGATGTATTTCTTCCTGGCCTGCTGGACCTATGGCCTCACGGTGTCTGCGGGGGTCTTCATCCCCTCCCTGCTGATCGGCGCTGCCTGGGGGAGGCTCTTCGGCATCTCCCTGTCCTACCTGACCAAAGGCTCGGTGAGTGCTCGGTGAGAAAGAGCGCTGGGTGGGAGGAGACGCGGCACCCAGCCCTCCTCCCTTGCCGCTGGGCAGGCAGCACGGGCGAGCAGCAGGCATGAAGCTGGCTAAGAGCCTGGCACAGCAGTCTGGAAAGGTGTGGAGTGGGGTGACTCCTCACTTGATGCCTTCCTGAGCTGCATCTGGGCTTTCCCACGTCCCAGCGGAGCCCTGCCGGCAGGTGGGCTCTGCAGGTGGCCTCAGGCACTCCTCCCCACTTTGAAGGGGGGTTTTGGGGCCAGGGTGCTGTTTATTATCTCTGGGTGCCCTGGAGCCAGCAGTTGACTCAGCCCCTTCTCTCTCCTGTGCTCAGATCTGGGCTGACCCTGGGAAGTACGCCCTGATGGGAGCTGCCGCACAGCTGGGTGAGTTCCCCATGGCGCAGTCTGGCCACCTCCTGCTCATGTCAGGGTGAAGGTGGCATGAGAAAAAGTGGTCCGTGCTTCCCTGGCACAACTTCTTCCCCAGCTGAAGCCCAGCCTGGCTGTTGGCTTCCTAATAAACCTGCCAAGTACGGGCAGCACTGGGGCACTAGCGAGGGCTGGACTCGTCCAGGGCACCCCTGCCTGTGCAGGCGGTCCTGGATCACCATGCAGAGACTTAGGGGCCTCGGGTGCTTTGCTATCCCCTCGCCCCATGTTTCCCACTATCTCGCAGGTGGGATAGTGCGGATGACACTGAGTCTCACGGTCATCATGATGGAGGCGACGGGCAATGTCACCTATGGCTTCCCCATCATGCTGGTGCTGATGACGGCGAAGATTGTGGGAGACTACTTTGTGGAGGTGAGAGCTGGTGTGCTCACCAGGAGCCTGGGACCCGGCG